ATAGTGTAGTAATAGAATTTCAACTAGAATAGGGTACGTTAATAGTTTGCTTGGGACCAATAGGCTACTAAAGTGGTGAGCCAATTTAAAATCGTTAGTTTCGTATTGATTGTTGGTATAAGCTTTCTCATGTATGTTACACGCCTACCCTGACGTCATGACATTGTACTATGTTCAGACTATAGTTGATATTAATGACGTACTAACGTTATATAATATGATATCAAAAGTGCCTAAATAACGTGATATCTGCTATATTTTCAAAGGACATACAATAAGCTTAGAGGTAATCCAAACAAATAAAAGAAAATGCAGTTTACCTCTGTCATCCCTCTTTACATACCACATTGGCAACTGACAGGAGGAAAACTTTCAACACGCTAATAATCGTTAACCCAATTTTGGGTAATAGATTAACAAACACGGTAAGAAAAAAAAACACTCTATACACTTGAGTTTAAAAAAAGATCAAAAACAAAAAAAAAATTAATTCGATTTTAAGTTAAAAGTACTCAACCGTCATGTTTTCATCATTGGGAAATTTAAACTTATTTTTGGATGAAAATCAAAGCAACCTGCGCTGCCTTTGAAACTGTCATTTTTGTGTGCTTCATTGCCTTCGTTCGTGCTCTTGATGTCATTTGTGACAACTGTCAAACTGCTCATAAAGACGATAATGAATAAAAACTGAAAATGTTCATGCATTTCCAAATGGTTTCCTACCATTCCCATATATTCGAAAGTGACTGGCCCACTGGATGTGGATGATGTCAAAAACAACAAAACATAATTAATTGAGTACATGGGACTTAACTTACTTTTGGCTTCCCACATAGTACACGGTAAAAAGTTATCACATCTAATCCAAACGCTCTTGCACTTGATTCAGTCTGTTTTGCGGCACTACGAATCGAAGTGATTTATCATTGATTTTCAAGTTATTTGCATTTTGAAACAAAGTGATTTGTCGTTGAAAAATATGTATTGTATAACACCTTTAAATCAAAATGATTATCATTTGAATCGGCACCACTGTTTTCATCCATTGAATTTGATTAGTTTTGCTTTTGGAAGCAAATGTCAAAAACGAACATGGCAAACATTTCTCGTGAAGATGGCAAGTCAAGTGGGAGAAGCGATAATTTTCCATCTGCACCCGAAATAATCTGCGCTCTAGAGCGTGGGTAATACGGAATTGTTGCTGTTTTCAATAACAGTGTATTATTCAGTTAAGTTCGACTACAAAACATGGCCAAATTTATCAAATGTATTGCTCAATGTCTCGTCTTGCTTCTACTAAAAGCCTTGCGATGTTGTTCAATATCACTTGGAAACATGTGATCTGGGTATCATACTGCAAGCCTTGTTATATGTTATTCAAAATACGACCATATCATATAATGGTCATATTTTGAATAACTTATAACAAGGCTTTCAGTTTGAACAAGGGTTTACAGTTTTCAGCAAAAAATAAATCCAAGGGTATATTATTTAAACTTAAAGTGATAGATTGTTAATACCAGTATGGTTGACATTTAGAGTTCAAATCACAGCATATCAACAACGATGTGCAATACAATCTAATATGAAAAAATATAATGTTGATTTCATCGTGCTTCAATATGATCTCTTCCAAGGGATTTGTACATCGAATTGAAATGTTTGGCAAGTAGTGCAAATTAAACAGCAAATCACTTCACATGAACACGATGCTTTTTTACCGTGTACCTAGTTGGGTGAAATAAACTTTTTTTCCTTGATTTGTTTTCCGTGCTGAATACCAATGCTACCGACGCCCGAGAAGCAGCTTCCACACCCACCCTTCATGATCAGAGATTTTGTACCTCAGAAAATCCCGGCGGCGCTTGAGATATAAACTATTTTTTTTTTTCTTTGGTTTGTTTTTTTCCGTCGATCTTGTTTTCCGTGCTGAGCACCAATGCTACCGACGTGCCAGGAAGGCAGCTCCCACACCTGGACCCTACCTATCGACCCATCAACTCATGAACCGGGGACCAACGGCTTTACTTCCCATCCGAAGGCGTGATCAGAGATGTTATGCCTCAGAACATCCCGGTGGCGCCGACTGGTATTGAACCCAGGCCTGCTGGGGTGAGAGGCAAGAGATATAAACTTAATTTTGACTATTTTTTTCTTACCATGTGGTTAAATTTTACTCAACAGTGAGTTGTTTTTGATAACCTTGTTACGCTCAATTTACAGTGTACTAAAGCTTGCTTCAGATAGAATTGGAACAAAAACAATTGCTTGTATTTCAGTTATTTATTATTGAATTTAAGATATATTTTTTATACAAATGTAGCGTTTTCTTCATACTTTTAAGAAAAAATACGGATAAAATTATTCGTCACGGTTTCGAAGGAATTCTCGAATTTTTCCTGTAACACGGCTCATTAGGCGGCGCACACCTTCTTCGTCCATCGTTTTAGCTATCTTATTCCACCAGGTCTTGATCTGATTGATGTCTTTGACAACCTTTCCCTTTGCCTTGAGTCTCCTCTTCATGATTGGACAGTATTTCTAGGGTTACCATACGGTATCCTAAAGGAGGACATGTCCTCCTTTTTCAATAATTTTTCTGCGTCCTCCTTTTGCCTGAAAATGTCCTCCTTTTTAATCCTTTCATTTTTCCTGTAACATATTCATACCATTGTTTTCAAAGAGCGTTGTTTGAAGCGATTATTTGTTAAATTATGTCACAACCTCATCTTAGGGATGGTCCATTAATTATGTCACGCAAATTTGGCCCATTTTCAAACAACCCCCCTCCCCCTCCCCATTTTTGTATGGCTCGTCACAGTTTTCAAAACCTCCCCTCCCCCCTAAATGTGTGACATAATTAATGGACGACCCCTTATCTAGCAACTCAAGTAACAATTTTGGTTTTATGAGGGTTCTATGGACCATGATTTAGACTTGTAGAATGCTAAAAAACCAGCAATGTTACTTGGGAAACGTCATTCGATGGTGGGACTAGGGGTTAACTACAGCTGTCAACCCCCCTACATTTAGGCTGCGGTCCATTTGATGAATCTTAACTTAAATTTGACAGATGGAAAATTTTCAAATCAACCTGCTATTCTACCAGACATATTTCAGACAAACTAGGAATCAATTTTGACAAAAAATTTCTCGAAAATCGGACGATCGAACCTTATAATTTATTTTCGAAGTGTCAGTGAAAATTCATCGAATGATTTAATTTGATTATGTACATGATAAAAGTTGGGATGGGTTTAAGACTGTAAATCTGTAGTTTTCATCCATATCAGCTAGACTAGATCATTTCCAAGTATCAAAAATGAATTATGAAGGCTAGTTTGATGCATTTTTCAGAAGTATAACAAGAAGATTAACTGAATTGGTAACGACTACAAGTTATGACAATCTCAATTGAACCTTTGCAAATCTTGAATTTTGTGATAGCGCACATTTTATTAAAAGTTTGATGAAAACTTATTGTCCTCCTTTAATGTTAAGAAAAGGAATCATTGTCCTCTCTAATCTCCAAACCTCAAATGAAATGTCCTCCTTTTCAAGTATTTTATATGGCAACCCTAAGTATTTCTCAATAGGGCGGAACTGGGGGCAGTTAGGTGGGTTAAGGTTTTTCGGAACAAACTGGACCCCTTTCTCTGCATACCATTCTTGAACGACTTTGCTGTAATGACAGCTTGCCAAATCTGGCCAAAACATTACGGGATGGTCATGGGATCGAATGAACGGCAAAATTCGTTTTTGGAGACACTCTTTTTGGTATAGTTCCGACGTCATTGTCTTATTTGTAACGAAAACTTTCGTTTTTTTTTGCCACAGCTGCAAATGCCCTGCCAAATCATAAATTTTCGTGCAAATTTGTCGGCAAAAACAAATTTAAATTTGGCTGGAACATCCCCCCGAGCCGTTGCCAAGTAAAATTTTTGACCTGGGATTTGCCCGAAGTCAGCCTTGACATAGGTTTCATCGTCCATCAGAAGACACCCGTCGAACTTGGTCAGCACCTGGTCGTATAGCTTCCGCGCACGGATTTTGGCCACACTATTCTGTTTTATGGTCCGATTTGGCTGTTTGCTAGCTCGATACGACTTGATTCCTTCCCGGAGTCGAGTTCTCCTCACGGTACTATGGGCAGCACCGAAATTTCTGGCCAAATCACGGTCCGACAGATTGGGATTCCTCTTAATCGTCTTCAAAATCTTACCACGCAGTTTCCGGTCGACAGTTCCACTCCGACGATTGGCTTGAGGCTTCCGAATCGTCGTCAATGTTTCCTTATACCGTTTGATAACGCGCCATACGGTATTTCTGGGCAATTTCAGCTGTTTAGCTAGCCTAGATGCAGACCACAGTGGATTTTCCAAATAACTGTGCACAATTTTTTCCCTTCTTTCGGCTTCCATGTTGATTGTTTACAAATTACAGTCGATTTGCGGAATGTCAAAAATACATACGTGAAGCTGACAAAATTCCCGACACTTGGGCGCCAAGAACTTCCAAATCCGTCCACCAGGAGCACCACAATATGAGCAAAAGTTTGTTCCAATTCTAAATGAAGCAAGCTTTAGTCACTAGAGCCGTTAGTGTCGGGAAAAATCGTGTCTTGGGGATAATATAGATTTTCACGTCCGGTTGTATTGGTGCGATATGTGAGAGTGTGTTAGTGAATATCCGAGGAAAATACATAACAAATCGATGTCAAACTCATTTTGACAGATCTACTTTCATACATTTTTTAGGTTAGCCAGAGGAAAATAATAAGCAACTTTACACGGCGTTGATCCCGCTAGTGTGCGTGCGTTAAACGTCACTAATCTCTATAGAAGAGTGGACCCTATTGTTAATTTATAATATTTGATTCCCCGGTTGGATTCTGAATTGAAAGTAGATAAGCAAGTTTACACTTCAATGATCAAATTGTCACCGTTCTCTATGTAAAGCAACTACCTAACGGAACACATTTTTCTCCCTCGCCAATACAGGTTTCTTCGTTGGGGGATGTGCAGGTTTCGGTGTAACGGGCGGTGTGCACCGGCTTTGGTGTCATAAAGCTTACAAAGCTAAACTTCCACTGAGGATCATACTGATGTGCTGCTACTCGATTGCCGGCCAGAATACCATCTACGATTGGGTGCGTGATCACCGAATCCATCATAAGTACTCGGAAACGGACGGCGATCCACACAACTCAAACCGTGGGTTCCTCTATGCACACGTTGGTTGGCTGATGCTGCGAAAGCACCCGGAATGCATCAAGAAGGGTCGTCTCATCGATATGACCGACATTACCAGTGATCCGGTAGTGCAGTTCCACCACAAGTGAGTATCTCGAACAAATACGAGTTCTACCAGTAGTAGCTTTTGATGATCAATCAAGGAAAGAAGATGCACCGAACATCTCACGCACCACTTGTTTGTACATAGGGTTACGGTATGTAATGTGGGTCTAGTCCTTTCATTCGGCCTATCACGCAAATAAATAATTAATTAAGGAATATTACACAAAAAATAAGGAAAATATTGATCACTGATGATTGATAAATGTGTACCACACACAAATCAATTTATATCACAACATTTCAATACATTTTCAGCTCTCGTAAGTAATAAAACTGGTTGAGAATATCACTCTGTTCGGAGTTTTTAGCCGCCATGACTTCTAAGGTTAAGATGGGAAGGTTGCACTGACGATCATCAAATGGCCTGATTATGGCATTTATTGAATGGAATTACCTGATAATACACACTAGACGTAAAACTCACAGTTACTGTTTGAATATTTTATGTTTATTTTAATTGTTTAACAACGTTTTCACAAGTAAATCATGGACCCAACTTTAGGGACACATTTCTTTTCTATGTTCCTAACTTTGGCCCATGAAATTCATTTGACAGCATATAGCAATAAGAGTAACGTCAACAATGTGGTTTGCATTTGGATGATAAGGAACGAACAGGAAGGGAGATTTTTTCTGCCAAATCTGTATAATGAACATCACAATGTTTTGATTTAGAAATTCTGCGGTCGAAAGACGATAAGCGAAATTTTTAATTTTTAATTTTTAACTTGAGTGATTTAATGTAGTTTTCGTAAAATTTTCTCTAAGAAATGTTTTGAGGAATGAAGAGTATTAAGTTAACAGTGATAGTGATAAAAAAAAAATACATAAGAAAACGTTACCAAGAGCGTTTTTTTTGAGAATCAAACAGGATAGGACGAAGTTGCATCCATAAATAGACCCAATTTGGGGACAATAGACCGATATTACATACATTTCCCTGGTGAGTTTTTGTCTTAAAAAAAGTAAGTTTTTCAACTTTTTGCGGTTCCTGATAGCAAACGACATGATAAGCATATCTAAGCATACCATTTAGCAGTAGAATATCGTTTGCAGGTAAATTAATTGATGAGTTATGATTAAAAACGTAATCTATGGCTGCATATTAGACCGAGGTTATTGACGTATACCCTATTAATAGATTTGATCGACAAGCAGGCCGCATTGCCAGGTTCAAAATGATTTGCACTTTTATGGTCGAACTCATTGGGGAACAGTCGAAACAATTAATACTGCCGTTTTTCGAGGCCATGGCAGTGACAATGGATCTTGAGAGCAATTATCAGCAATCAACAGATTATCACAAAACAAAACAAAACCACGCCGGTGTTTGATGCCTTTCATCAGGTGTTCCAATATGACATAACCTTGTCCATGAAAAATGACGTAAATATGACGTGAATGAATGGTATGCTCGGGAAAATTATAACATAGCTTCTCACAGTTTGAATCAATCGAAAGACAGATTATAAAACCCCATTCCGTTATCGAATTCTCGTTATGTTTCCAACGGATAAATTATAGCGAAATTATCTGAACAAAATCAATAACAGTTTGAGCTCCGAACGACTTCCGTCAAACGCTGATGGCAGATATAGATCCACTTCGAATCATTATGATCCAAATAGTAATAATAATAATAATCAATCTTCATAACTCATCATTCAAACATCCCAAAAGCTAAGCACCTCTTTTCTGCCCACGGCGGTGTGGTCAAGGGTGTGATGTGGCTAACACAAAATTTGCACTTTCACGCAAGAAAGCATACAAGTCGATGGTCCACTGCGACCGTGACATCAAGCCGGTGGTTTAGGCTAGCCTACAGAAAGATTACATAAACTGCTTTTCAAATAAGCAACGTGTTTTTCGTTGAGAAAGCAACAACAATGAAACGATTTAGAAACCGGCTGCCGGTATCAAAGTCCGAAAGAGAGAGAGAGAGAGAGTTTCCAGCCATTCTTTTTCGGAGCGAATGCTTGACCCAGCTTCAATTTTCGCTATGTTTCAAAATACCGCCGATCGATACTGATGTTGTAACAAGCGGACAGCATGGTTGATCCAACAGACCCAAATAAGTGCCATTCAAATTCAACTTTATGGTAATTCACTGGACCAAAACGCTCTACAATAGTTTACTAATCTGCAAACTGAATAGTCATAAAGAGCTCATCGTTGCTTGCATAATAATTTAGTAACTAACTCAATTCAGTTACAACAGTCTCACTATGAATTATCCATCAATGTTTCTTCCAAAGGTAACGCTGGTGATCCACAACTTATCGGTGCATTTAACGATCATCATTAATTCTTACCTTCAACAAGAACAGTAATCAGCAATGCAACTATAAAAAAAACAAATCAAATCAAAATCTTCTTAATTTCATTTTCTATAAATTTATACAGTGGTGTCTAGTCTAACACAGTGGTGCTTATGCCCATTTTTTTTTCAATAGCTTTATATTTGTTCGATGGTTTAATTGGTTGAATTTCGTGTATTTCGCAATAAATTCGGCCATACATTCGTTATGCAAAAAAATAAATAAACTGAGGTCGTTGCATCATACAGATCCAAGCAAGAGATGAACCAGCCTCTGGCTGAAAGTCTCGCTAATAAATAAAAAACAGATCCAAGCAACACGTGCGCACATTGACGAGTGCACGGATGGATTTGAGTTCACTCACTCGACAAAAAGTGACACAACAGCGGGGCCCTGTTTACTAAAAATGAACACATATGTGTTCATTTTTAGTAAACAGGGCCCCGCTGTTGTGTCACTTTTTGTCGAGTGAGTGAACTCAAATCCATCCGTGCACTCGTCAATTAGCCATCACCGGTCTACACGGTAACCACAAAATACCCAATAATGACTATAAAAGACTCGATAATTGACTACGAAGTAAACATTTTCGAGGGAGACTGGGACTACCCATTAAATGAGTAAAAAGATTACCCCAATGCTAAAATTCAACATATTACTAACAAATTAACTCTTGGATTCTCAGTAGGGGAATTTACGTATTCTCGGCAACCTAAGCAGCGACCTTCTTTCTATAGCCTTTTTCTCTATGGAACGCACACATATGCAGTATTGGTTTGTTTACAATCTTTTGCTGCCAGCTGCTCTAACAATTCCAGTCGAAAGAATTGTCAAAAACTGTTTTGAAACGCTTTTACAAAGCTCCAATCTTCTCTAGTGAGAGCGAGTATTGTCGGTAACCAGTTTTTCTTCGGCAACCGTTCCATTTGAACTGCATGTAAATCTGCTGTTCTATTATCGGCAACTCGAAATCAGCTACAATTTGTAGTGCGTGTGTTGCATTTCAAGAAAACCTTGCTAGATTGCTTTTTCTCAGTGGTAAAAATATAGTCAAATTGAAGCTGAAAGCATAAACAATCGTTTGCATGCATCCAGCGAAGTGTTTTCGTAAGAAAATCCAGTGAAAATAGTGTTTCAATTTGGGTTGCCTAAAATAGTCTGTCATGCCGAAGCCGTCATTTCCCCTACTTGTTTTAAAAATATAAAATTTGAAAAACGTTCATTGCTGTAAAAAATATTTAGAATATACTTTAAAAAAAAACTATCAATATTACCCCGTTGTACGGTATTTGTTGTGAAGGACTGGTCTCTGGATGAAGGACTGATCCCCGAGCGGATCCCTGCATACGGATGTAATTGCATCCGGATCATAAGACGACAATAATGCACATATAAGCGCACGATTGGTGATTTAACCTAATCTAGCGCTTTTATTTGTTTCATCCGAAAATAATTTATTATAATTAATAGAAAATCACGCTAAACATTAAGTACGTTTAATATAAACATCAGTATCATGTTTAAAATAAAAATATTTATTTTTGATTATAAAGCTGTCAAAGTTAAAATATTCACGTTTATTTACAACAGGAATATTTTTAAAATAAACGTAGCATACCTTTTATTTTAAACATTTATGTCACATGACTTTAAACATAAAATACGTTTGAAATCAATCTAATTTATTTTTGTGGCCAGAACAAACTTAGTTCATGTTTATATGACTACTTCAAACTAGGGGAACAAGATTTTTCAGTAATCCAAGGACCACATTTTAGTCCATGATACTTTTTATGCCTTGTTGAAAGCGACAAGACTCAGCTTTGTCTACCGAGAATGATCTTGAAACAAGAAAAAAAAAAAATGAGCTAGTTAGTATTCATCTATGGGATTCCTAATCTTCCATTCGTTGTTCCCTAGTTTGAAATGGTTAAGACTACGGTTCTGATTTATGGTCATTATCGGTGTCATTCCTTAATTTTGTTGCTAAGGAATCCAATTTTGACTGACAAAGGGGCGTGCCTTTGGAGGATCTTTCAACACTCCGAAGGGTATAAATAGCGGGACCTTTCAATTAGAGTCGGATCCTTGCGATAAATGCAAGAATGAAAACTGTAAAAAAATCGAATACTTCATCATTTCTCAATAGTGATGGAGTAATACGACATGCACTTAACTAAGGACACGGGATATACTACAATAGATCAAATTACTGGTCGCAGTGATGTTAGGTCCCGAACAGAGGAACATTACTTACAAGTTGCCTTTTTGCGTGAAATGAAATACAAGTTTACGTTAATGTATGTTTGCATCACAATAATAATTCAGAATTTTTACTGTGTAATGTCTTCCAACCAAAAGCAAATTCTTCCAACCAAGTGACTCTGCAGGTTACTCGAAACCAGCGTTGCCAGGTCATTTTCAGAAAAATCTGGACCAGTGAACATATAAAATCGGGAAAAATCTGGAGTGCTCCAAAAAATCCTGTTCTTAACATAATGCTATTGAAATCAAAGTGATGTGTCAATCTCCCGTAAAAATCGGTCAGGATGATCATCTGGAATTTATTCAAAGTCTACCAGAATGTTTATGAAATCCATGTTTAAAAAAATATATAAAGCCAACTTGTTAGCATTGCTAAAATCATCCAAAAGTTAAGAAA